CTGCCATTTGTTGGTGGATATCCTTTCTATTTATTAATTCCCTTGTGCTTATATTATTGCATGGGGGTTATGCCAGTTTAGCTGCAGTTGGTGCTAATTGCCATTTTTCACGTGTTACAAGGAATAATTGGTTTTGGGTCAGCAAGGCATGTAACAGATACACAACCAGGCAGCAAGGAGTTTTTGACACACACAGGTGTGAGGCATGAGTGGATGTCAGATACACGTTGCTGGGGAATTGTGTAACTTACTTTAATTTGACTTGGGGATGGGTGTGTCATGCATGTATGCCAGGTCCACCATATCTGGTTCTTTTATTCTCAACATATACCATGGTATAAGAGCAGATATCATAACCTCATACTGACATTTGCTGCATGACGGTGTAGTATATTTTTTTAGAAATACTTTGACAAACTTTTTTATTGCCAACATACACTGAATTGCTAGATATAAAACAATTGGTATGTTCCTTACTTTATCATAATTGTTAGCCAGGCGTTAACAAGCACACTTTTTTTTTTACCAAAAAATTAGCATGACTTGTCCTATTATTACAACTGTTTTTACTATAACATGCCACAGATGACTGTTTTCAAACAAGAGGAACAGGGTTCAAGACATGCTTCATTTGAGAATGTGAAAAATTATTTTAGTATAATATAATTAATCTTATTTTCATTTTATTTGAAGAGGTGTTAAAAAGTTTGTTCAACTATTTTCAAAAGTTTGATTTTTTAAGAAGACTGTCAACACAAAGATTATTATATGAATTGAACAGGACCATTTGTTTCCTTGACTTTTAACAAGTATTCTCCAGTCTTGTCCAAACCACGAGGACTCTGAGACTGAGGAGAAATGTAGTGAAGCTGAGCTTGTACAGGCATTTTACAAATACCTTGATATTTGCTGTAGTAGGTGAGTCAGGCTTCCCAATGCAAGAGTTTAGTTTGAGGCATTTTATTGATAAAAATGAGAGTATTGAAAGATGCCTATAAAAGCCATACGGACTGTTTGTTATCATCTTTTAAATGTAATGTGATGTGATAACATTTCATGGTTTTTGAAGAAGGGAAGTGGTTGGTTCACATAAGGATGCTTGTATGACCATTGTTGTTTAGTATTTCTTAAAACTAACTGATCTACTACTTGGATCATTTTCATTAAAAGAGTTAAAATCTCTTTTCCAGCCTCTGTAGCATTCATGATTTGGTCCATCAAGCAGCATACATTTGCTGAGTGCTTGCAGGTAAGTTTGTGATACAGAGAGGTGAATTAAATCGTACTTACAAAGCTGTCTGATATAACCTTCCATAAGTGATCACTATTGTTGGAAAGGTACTGATTCCTTTTTATCATGTTTTTGGAATAAAAAAGGATACAGTACATAATGCTTTTACATTGCATACATTTTATGGTAATTTTACTCTGTTTATATAATTAACTATGATGAATTATTATGAATTATTTTATATATTCAGGACTGGGCAGAGTTGTGGTTAGATGACGCCTACTGGCACCTGTTGTTTTCTGTTATTCTAATGGTGATAATGGTACTTTGGAGACCCACTATCAACAACCAGAGGTAAACTGCACAATTGACAAGATTTTGAATGCAAAGAATTTTTTTGCTGGTTTTGTTTCTTTTTCTGTCGAAGCTCATATATCTTTCTCTTTTGTTGGCATTTACGCTGGACATGTATTAGATATTATGTAATATGTAATATTTCTGCATTTTCTTTTTTATGATTTCTTTTCTTGGCTCATTGTACTTTCACCAGTGCTCTTTCTCTCTCTGTTTTAGATATGCATTCTCCCCACTGCTAGATGCAGCAGACCAGGAAGCAGAGGAACCCATGATGAATGATGCTTTTGGTTAGATTTGATGTTTAATTTTTAAAGGCCACAAAACTTAAGGCAACAATAATGTATAATTAATAGTAGCTGCTGATTGAGGTTGTGATAAGTATTTGACTCTTTTAAAGGCACACAGGTCAAACATTAATACACAGATTTCAATTCCTATCCCTTAATATAGTCAGTTGCACAGTATTCAAAACCATTCACAGATTTATGATCTATGTAAGTTCAAAGTTTCTGGTTTTTGAGTGCCTCTTATATTGAAGATAGACTGGTGATTTTCACTTGTGGAGCTAAAAAAGAATTTTAGAAGTCAAAAACAGCTTGATAGATCGTAATTTTCTCAATGGTTTTGGATAAGTTGTACCACCAGCGTGGCACTGGCGGTACACATTGTTTTTGTCCTGTCCCGTCTTGTTTACCTTGGTGATGGAAAATATGCAATATAAAGGTCTAACATCACAAGCCTTTAAATCTGGATTACTTAAAGACACTCTTTGCATTTCAGAGGGAATGAAGATGAGAGGATTAAAAGCTGAAGGTCAAGTGAAGCCCAAGGAACCAGCCTCCAAAGTGGTACGTTCTGGCTACCCCTCTAATGCCCAAAGTGCTTCCTGTAGTGTATAAAAGATAGCTCTCTTGCTGATGTTGCATATGAAGATTATCTTTGAAACTGTGAATTTCAAAATAAAAATTTTACGAAATAAATAAATATATATATATATATATATATATATATATATATATATATATATAGCATTTTCTGTACCAAGTTTTGCACTATTGAAACTGTGTATATGGTATTTGATTTATTTATTGTTTTACAGGAGGACGATCTGAAGTGGATAGAAGAAAACATTCCTGCATCAGTAGCTGATACGTAAGGATTGATTTTCGTGGATATTTCTGTTTTGGTCTTTTCATCAATGTTGAATTTTATTAACAATAACACAGTTCAACTTTGTTAAAGGGATAATAACTGTTCATTTTGGCCAAAAAATGAAATTTTTTATATAATATTTCTATGAGTTGTTTACAATGTTTTTATTGTGAAATATAGATCTCATATGAAGAGTTATTATCCCTTTAAATGACTCGAAATTAGTTTTCAACTGCATTTGTTAAATGATTTGAAGTTATCCTTTTCTTTATAGCTTTCCACAAAATAATCATGAATTATTATTGAACAACAATAGTGAAATGAAATCATTAATATTTCTTTTCTTAATCCCAATATAAATCTGTTCCCTTCTAGTGCCCTCCCAAGCCTGTTGGATTCAGATGAAGAAATCATGACCACCAAGTTTGAGATGTCCAAGATGGAGTGAAAATATGGATGAATTTACACTTTAGTTTCTGAAGGGATGAAGCACGATTTGATTATTAAGGGTTGGGTTTCCTTTATATGGAATTGTCAGTGATGTCATGCTCTTCAAGATATCTATTTGGGATGTCATTCCTCTCCTTTCTGACTAGCTCACCTGTGCTAAAATATCTCTCAAGCAACTTACAGGGAAAATTGATGAGACAGCTAACAGTTTTAACTTGTTAAAAGCAAAAGTTGTTTCTTTAAGTTGTTAACTTTAAAATGCGCATTTCAGTATTTAAAAAGAAAAAAAAAACGTACTTTTTATTAACCGTGCCCAATTGTTTGCACATCATATAGAGTTAAAAGTGAAGCATAAGTTGTTTAGTGTTTAAACCGTCTTGGCTTACAATAACTTTAAAAGATGACAATACAAGGCCCTTTTCACATTGTGCAGTTTATTTAACTTCATTGCATTGTTTTGAGAGATTGATGACTCAATAGCCTGGCTATTATGTAAGAGTCATCTAAATGGAGTTACTACCATGGCCACATAATTGTATACAAACTAGTGATAGGGAGCATAACTCCCCATTACATTAGGGTCAGTCTTGTTGTTGCGGTACAGGTAAGTAAACAAGTGAGAAGGGCCCAAAGTATACATCATTTGATTTCTTTGCCCTGTCTATATTTGATTGGAAATCGTTCAATTGCAGATTTGTCAATTTTGTTACATCTCACATTCATGATCTCTCGGCTATAAATAAGGGCGGGTTGTGTTATTATGAGGGGTTGATTTTTTTGCTGGAGCAATGCCTAGATTATTGCATATTCCAGAATTAAATGTGCAGCTGGTTAAGATGTGTTGGGATCTTGTGGTATGTGTAGTTTGTTTCAATTTTTAGATTATTTAATTGGGGGATATAGATTTTGACTGTAGTATTCTGAGGAAGTGCACAATATACAATTGCTTTTTGTCAAATCATGCTGATGTTTAAGGAGCTTATTTTGTTGTATATATGATAATATATATATTCATGTCTCATATGTAATAATTTCGAAGGAAATTTCAGATTTAAAGTTATTATTTGTTTTCAGTTTCCTTTAATTGTATAATATTTTTACTGTGTAAATAAAGTGGGTCAATCTCTATTGCCATGAATTTTTTAAAGTTAATTCTTCATGAATATTTTTTCTAATAATCTGTGAACCTCCAGTATTGGGATGCAAAATGGTCTAAAGGTTGGATAGATTGACTTGCAAAAGTCCAGATTTTGTCAGATGGACTCCTTTTTCGTATAATTCCACAATGTATGTTATATTTGTATATGGTTATTTGATGAGTCAGCAGTTGGTTATTAGGACTCTCTTTGGGAAATCCAAGAGCACCCTGGAGTAGACGTGCTCAGCCAGTTTCTGTGACCCAAAAACATTTAATTCATGATCCTAGAATAAAAAAATAGTATGTTCTTTTTGAAATGTAAATTCAAAATGCATAGAAGTTATCCTCAAGGTAATATATGTCGCAAATCATAAAAAAACATACTGCTTTTTAAAACTTGGCTTAACACTGCTAACAAATGGACTTATAAGTGTAAAAATGACCGTAATTTACAACTGATAATCTGGAGCAATCCTTGTGTCTTTACTTACATGAATAACTCCCACAAATACGAAATTTAATATCATTCGATACATATGTTGCCTATATTTTTAATAAGTTTTAGCTGCATTTAATGCATGTTTCTTAACAATGGAAGGGATACTGAAAAAAAAACATAACTTGTCTTCAATACAAGGGTAACGAGACAAAAACATCACTTGTCTTTAATAAAAGGGAAACGGGGCAGAAAATATTACTTGTATTCAATCCATTTGTTAAAATTGTTCATATGATACATTTACCGACACATACTTTTCCATATTGCGTGTAGATATTTTTATTCTTATTTTCAATTTGTTGTCCCTCTTTTAAGCTAACACTTAATTCTTAGTGTATATGACGTTATTATATATATATATATATATCATGTGAACATTTTTCGCAGATAGTTGAAGGCAAGAAATATTTTTTGTCTCGTTTTCTTTTATTTTAATGTAACATTAAGACATGAGTGTTGGCAAAATAAAAGACAAAATGAAAGACAACCAATGAAAATGGAATAAATAAATATTTACACGCTTCATGGTAACGTATGTATCATATTTACGTAACTAAAAAGAATGAGCGACGCACATATACAACGTCGCACACAACCACAGAGTCGCGACAACAGAACAAACAATGGAATCAGAAAACAATACCTTCACGTTATTTGGTAAAGTATGTATCGGTAACGTATCTATCATATAAACAATTTCAACAGACGGTTTCAAGACAAGTAACCTTTACTTGCCCTGCTTTTCCTTTTTATTGTAATGTAGTATACCGTAAGAAAATGGCGTTTGCTATCAAGACGGACAACAACCAATAAAAATGTATGAATTAATTTGTTGCATTGTTTGTTTTCATTGTTTGTTGTCCGTTTTGTGAGCAAACGCCTTATTCCTACGGTATACGACATGACTATATTGTTTTGTGGGCCAACATTTTACTTTTCTGTTACAATACAATAAAAGAAAACGGGACAAAAAAAAGTTTCTTGCCTTTAATTATTTGTGAAAATCGTTCATATGATACATAATTTATCGATACATACGTTATGTTAAGGTATTGTTTTCTAATTCCATTGTTCTCTGTTGTCACGACTGTGTGGGTGCATGAGACGTCGTACATGTGCTGTCGCATGTTTTCATGCCGCTTTTCTTATATGTTACGTTCATATGATTCATACGTTACCGATACATACGTTTTCTATTCTTCTGACACCATATTGAACCTGTTTTGATCAAGGAGACATAAAATTAGTTGTATTTATGTAGGAAATGGTTTGTTTTGGTGGTGGTAACTTTTTGATAATACATGAACTTTTTGTTTATAGGAATTGGGTCTTGTATCTGCACATTTTGACCTTAAGTAGTTGACCAAGGCAAGGTGATAACAGATGCCTAGGGTTACGGAATGTCTTAGCTGCTGTGTATCTAGGCACACGCACTTATATTTTATGAAAGATGTTCTGGGAACTATTTATATCGAGCTGCATCAGTGAGAAGTCATTCAGCTTTTTAGCTGCGGAGATATTTACCCGCAGTTTTAGCAGCTACACTGTAATATTAGTTACGTTACTTTATTTGCACACTGGTTACCAGCCATCAATTTTTGTGGTTTCATGGTTTGGGGACGGCTATTTGTTACTTTGTGACTTTATTTGTGACTTTCTTCGGATAATATTCAGCTTTCCCAGCCACCAGTTTTGTTATTCAAGTTTCGGCGACGGCCGTTTCCTTTTATTGGGTGACTTCCAAGTTCTTGGATCACACACAGGGTAGTATTTCTTTAGTGTCTTCATTTTTTCCCCTTATTCATGTACTCTTATCAACAGATTTGTAATTTGTTTTGTATTGCAACTGCAGATGTTAACTATTTTGTTTAGGTGTCCCTTCATCATGTTATTCTTGATTTTCTTCTTTTGTGTGCATCTATTTTATTTATGTTTCTATTCCCACCGGGCCAGGCGTTTCAGAAAACATTACTTGCTATTTTTCAGCACGTGTAAACTATACGAAAAACAGCAACAAAATTAAGACTAAAAATCCTGAAATAGGGCATAATCCTGAAAACTTTCACCGGCATAATTTTTAACAGTTATAGACAATGATAATTAAAAATGCCATATTTGATTCAAAATGGTTTTATTATTCTATAGATTGTTTTGCTTGTGAAATCTGTCTTTATACAGCAACCATTTCTTCTGTACACAAATAACAGTTAATTTATGATTGGGAGGAGTTGGGTCCTCTCCTTCTGCCAAAAGTGGCTACCACATTCACAAAGCGCCTGTTGTACTGTAGACGACGCTTGGCACGGCCAGTCTTCTTTTTCTTCTTCTCTTGTTTCTCAACCTTAAACGAAAAAGAACTGATAAGAATTGATATGCACCTCATCTTTTTTTTCTTCTGTGACCAATTAGCAATGCCAAAAACATTCACACATTATTTGACAGAAAAAAAAACAACAACTGTGTTTCAACAATTCGTGAAATTTCTGTTGCCTTAAATATTACTCCATTCCTTTTTAAGGTGTTCTAAAATAATGCAATATTTTGTTATCAATAAAAATGACCACTCTTGCTTAAAAAAAGGCAGCAGCATCGATTTGGGACTCTACAGGTAAAAGTGTGAGAAAGCTGTTAAAGATATATCAGTTAAGTTTATCACTGTGTTTCCAATGAAGCACGTCACTTTTCACACAAGTTTACCTTGGGTGTTTGTCCCTTCACTTTTCCAGCACGAGCCAAAGAGCCATGCACTTTACCTAAAATTAGAATATTAGCCTACCATTATTCTATGTATCATATAGATAGTACATAAAGAGCAAAATAATCCAATCAATGGAAACCATCAGAGATTGCCTAAAATGAAATTGTTGGCACTGCATAATACCATATGAGACCAGAAAATATGTAAGAATCCAGTAGAGTTATTGTTTTAGCAATTTACTTGAAACTCTTGGTCTACGTGCCAGGAATGTTGTCTTAGGTATAGCAAAACATGGCAAATATGTAATGTTATGAAAAGAATAATTCTACAAAACTTAAAAAGATCGGAAAATATTCCTGGATAAAATCTGTCCGACTATTCTTTGCACCCTGAGCTTCAGAGATAACTTGACACTAACCTCTTCACTATAGCCTATCTTCATCGTGTCAAGTTACCTCTGACGAAAATAGNGGGTGATTCTTTGCCACTTTGAATTTGAATCTATTGGTCTACCATTATTTTTATCTCACTCTCCTTTAAACCCTGTGAAACCTCACTTCATGTTACATGGAGTTGTGCAATATTTTTAGGCATCCTAGATGATCCCTACCAAGTGAATTTCATTTCAGTATATGAGACAGTTTTGTAATAAAACTACATGCTTTGTCATTAAGAAAACTGTAATACAGGGGCAGAAACACAAGTTATGACTACAAAGGCAATATGATGGCCTACATGAAAAGTCGGTTCATCGCTTAAAAGAAATTACCTCCCAACATTCTGACCTCCACATTAAGAGTGGACAGGTCAGTGAGTCCACAGGCCAGTAGTGTGCTAGCATCCTCCAGGGGGGCTCCAGCCAGGGTCACTACCTGGTCATCAGCAGGCAGACCTTCAATCTCGGTGATCTGGGCCTAGAAAAGGACATGAACAGAAGTGAATATAATGGAGAAACTATTATCATTAGCATCTACAACGATGTAAAAATTCTATGCTCTTATTGTATTACGGATTATTTGAATGTATGTGATATTTCTTAACCATTTGTCACTGATGGGCATGTTATGGCTAAATGACAAAAACCTAACAATATTGCACAACTGAAATGAAATTCTGATGTCTTATTGATCAATCATAACTTTGTACCATTGGTTCACTCAGGTGTATTATTATTACTGATTTAAAGGTTTAGTGATACAGCAGCAGTAAAAAATGTTCACAAGTACCTTTACATCAGCGATGGTTTCATTGCCAGTCACCTCAAGGGTGTGAGTGTGTTGAGCACGAACAAACAACTGCATTTTGTGGGTTCCTGAAATTAAAAAAATTACCAACTTTACATCAATATTTCAGTTTTAGAGAAAAATCACTAACAGTATCAGTTTCTTTAACATGCCATTCAACCAGAGTTAAGTACGTCACAATCTGACGAGGAATTTCAAGTTATTTGAAGCTACTCGACAAAAAGGGAACACATTTGCGCAAAATAAAAGTATCTGTAAGGTTGCATGATTCCCACAATTTTAAAAGAAAACTGGACAGCTTGGACTACGAATGTGACAAAGTTATGGCAGATAAACCTACCAATTATTAAATTAAAGAACATACCTCTGAAAAGATACTTATATCACCAAAGAGTTTACTTCTTGGGCTTGCTTAAACAGCTAAATCAGGCATCGTTAGATCGTTTTAAAGCACAAAATATCGTATTTATACTAAACACACTTACACGTGATGGTGAAATCCAAAATGGCAGGTTTCCAAAAGACAGATAGTGCGCAGTTTTTCGCGCAGCGCAGGTTTGGGCACATCCTCTTTCGTCATCACTTTTAGTGTAAATCTGATGACGTTTTCACAAGCGCGGGGTCCGAAATGGCTACTTTCATTTGTTGTCTTCGCAGAGTTGGAGAGATATCAAACAAACGAAGGATAGAGCCACTAGAAAACAAAAATGAGGTAAATCTAAGAAATATTTTATTGACATTTATAGCCATTATCTTTAAATAGCTTTTGTAAGATGATGTGTAAATAGGTGCTAAAATGGAACTTGCCACGACGCGGACCCAAGTAGTAAGTACATGTACAGTAAATGTACATGTGATACCTATGTTTTAATTTTTATTTAATCGCTTATCTCATCAAGTTTTTTTGTGTGATTTGCGCTTATTTCATGTTGAATGAAGCATTTTCATCAAGATCAGTAAACGAGAGAAATATAAAAACTTCATGGGAGTGCAGGAGGCAGACTAACTTCACCAAGGGTTCATTCCCAATTGAAACTATTGTTCTACTTAGATCGACCAAACTCCCTAGGGACTCGACGAATGCAATCAATGTGCCCTTCTCTTGTTTCCAACGTTCATGTATTGTACCAGCTATTCTGTATTCTACTAAATGCTAGGGGGTATGTGAATCTGTTAATCAGTGTTCAGCAACAGACCCCTAGCACGAAAATTCATGTGTTAGCACTCCTGTTGACGATTCTGATATGTACTGTCTGTGCTAACACATTACATATTAGAATCGTCAATAGGAGTGCTAACACATGAATTTTCGTGCTACAGTCCCCATGAAGTTGGATCTGTCTGTGTAGAATGAAAGTTCTATTGTGCCCTAAAGCTTAACATGGAATTGCAACTTTGTTATTTTCTGTGTCATTGATATTGTTTTTCCTTCCCAGCTATGACATGGACTTTCATGGCTTTAATTTTTAGTTTGAAACAGAGTGTAGACATTTGTCCCAGTCATTTGTGTGAATTTATTTTTATAGTCATTCCTCAATAACATGCAATCTGCATTCTTCGATAGCATACAATCTGCAAATTTTGGTGAAAATAAATTTTATTAATTTCTTCTGTCAGTCTCATTTTTCATTCACTGCTCCAAATGCCATAAGATGTAAAAATACTTTGTCATCAAAATTCTTAGTGTTATATATATATATATATATATATATATATATATATATATATATATATATATATATATATATATAATTTATTTTTATTTTTATTTATTTATTTATTTTTTTTTGTATCCCAGGTCATCATTGGAAGACATAAAGAAAATGCCATATGCATCACTGACAGTGTCATGATATCAAGAAAACATGCGGTATTGAAGAAACTACAGGATGGTTCTTGGACTATTACAGATAACAAGGTACTTGCCATAGGACCAGTGGTTACATCTCAACTATTTTGTTTTAAGTATGTCTTAAGTTTGCTTTATGTCTTATTTTAAGTATAATTTGATAAAACATCAGGTATGCCGAAAATGAATACTTCAAGACTTAAACCCCAATAACTCAAATTATTTTTGAATCTCAAAAATGCATGTCATGATTTTTTCATGAAATGACAGGATGTTTATTAATTTATTTTGGTTTTTAGAGCCTTAATGGAGTTAAAGTCAATGATAAGCAGTTAATTCCTTCACAGCCCTATTTGCTCAAAGACGGAGACAGGATTCAGCTGGGAATTCCTCCAAATAATGCCAGTAGTGAGCCAGTAGTTGTATTTCAATTTCACACTTGCCTTAGAGTCAAGTCAAAAATGATTGATAAAATTTCATCCAAAAGGAAACATTCCGAGGACAGTGTAAGTTCAAAAAGTAAATGTGTAAAATATGATCATGTTTTCAAACATCCGCACTCAGAACAGATTAGAAATCCGGGCGCAGTTTGGTCGCCATCTTTGCAAATGAAGAAACAGCTAGAGGAACAAGAGCGCCTGCATCAGGAGAAGTTGAAAGCTGCAGAAAAGGAAATGGAAGAGATGAGAAAACGGCTAGAGGAAAAGGAAGCAGCACAAAAAGAGATGTTAAAACAGCTCCAAGAAAATGAAGAGAGAATCAATCTCGAGAAACAGGTAGTGAGATTGAGAAAGTTTCATTAATGTAGAGAATTGATGTCAGTATTATCATTTCAGTAAGACTGGATTATTAAGGTCACACAAAAAAATATCAGTAGCTTAAGGTATACTGCACACTTTAAAAAAAGTCCCAAAGACATTTTTCATATCTGAATATCCAGAAAAAGCTACTTATTTTTCCCAATTCGGACCTTCAAAATGATAAAACCCCTCAAATAAATTTTCTTGATGTCCATGTTTCCTTATTAAATGTAAGGATAACATGGCAGTCTAATTGAGTCATGATTATTCAAGAACTAATTATTTAATTATCATTGGTACATAACGGAGTGAGAGGCTGAGCAATAATTTGTTCTTAGTAGATATTCTTGTTTTTTTTTCCAATAAAAGAGAGATTTAGTGCAAAAATCCTTTACAGAGTACTTTAAAAATTTTCATTTACCCTTTAGGACCAAAAGCAGAAACTCCAAGAAGCAGAGAATATGATATCAGAAATGGTGCAGGCACTTAAAGAAAGAGAACAGACTGAAGCACAAATGATAGAAGATATTAGACAGAAAGAAGAAGAAGCAAGACTAAAACTGGAGCAACAAAGGGTAGGAATAATATGAATGACTTATAACCTGGCTTTGTAATTTTATCACAACGAGAAATTACTACTTTTAACAAAGGTCCATTTTATTATTGTTTTTTTTCTTCTTCTGCAGTGAGTGTTAATCTCTTTAAGTCTTACCTGAAAGGTTTCAGTTTTACCACATTGTTTGGATAATTTTTACACTGAAGTGTACCTTTTCATTGTAGAACCTTATCAAATTGAAGATATAAAATTTTAATTTGAAATAAAAGTTTTGGTGAAAATTTTACTGTGAAGTATAATGGCATTTTATTCAGTACTATTGTAGCATTAGAAACTGGGGAATGTAATGGAATTGTCACTTTTTGACATTGCATTTAGGCAAACATGGAAGAAGAAAGAAAGAAATTTGAAGAAGAAATGAAAAGCGAAGTACAGAAACAATTACAGGAAAAAGAGGAACTTTTGAGACAACAACTAACTGTCCAGCGAAATGCTCTTCTGGAAGAGAAAGAAAGGATTGAGAAAGACTTACAGCAGGAGATGGAAAGAAAATTGGAAGAAAAAGACAAAGACCTGGAAAACAGACTGCTGAAGGAAAAAGAGAACCTCGAAAAAATAATATCAAACAAAGAACTGGAACAGAAAATGTTAGAAAGTCAGTTGAATGAAACTAAGATTGAAAATGAAAAAACTAAAGAGCAAATGTTGAAAGCTAGGGAAGATGTGTTGACCAATTTTGCTGATGTCATGGAAACTGAATTGCAGTGCAGTATATGTAATGAACTTTTCATCCAGGTTTGTAAAACACTAGCCTGCATATGTATTAGTACATTCATGAACCGGTTCACATTGGAAATGTGATAAGATTTTCGGAGTAAGATGGAAAAGATATGAAACCATATAGTATCACTTGTTCATAGTGTAAGGAGAGAGAGAAAGGGAACAAGCTTTCCCAAACACATAAGGCTATTAACACTTTTTCTTGTGACTAAGACTTCTAGACATAAGACTATTTGCTTTGTAAAGATGTTGTTAGTTCTGGTTTACTTTAATATTGTTTATAATAAATGTAATGTTTATAATTTTTTCCAGGCCACATCTCTGAACTGCTCACACTCTTTCTGTGCATACTGTATTGGGCAGTGGATAGAAAAGAAAAAAGAATGCCCCATATGCAGATCAGCAATTACATTTAAAAATAGGTATGTATTATCCTCTTAGACAAATTCATGCTTGTGTTTTTTAATCAGTTTTGAAGTTGATAACATACTTTTATCTTAATTGTCTCCTAAAAGGAGGTATTGTTTAAAAATTTTAGTGATGATTGATTTATTAATTATATAATCCTTTGATTAATTAATGGTTAATTACTACTTAATTATTTGTCTTGGCAGGGATTGTGCTCTCTAAGTGTTTATAGGTGCATTTAAAACATGAAAATTTATTTCAGTTGAATGCATGCTGGCACATTTAAGTTACACTTATTTAATTTTTTTTTTTTTTTTGCTCTTGTTGACATTATTAGTTACAGGGCTCTTTTAATATTCTCTTTAAACTGAAATGCATATTTCATTGCTCTTGTAGAGATAGTGTTTTTAACTTTGTTGTTTTGTTATTTAACTAAAATAATAACACAACATGTATTATACATATGGGTGAATTTTGATGAAATTTGCTGGATAGGTTAGAAATGGGCTAGCTTTCATGATCCATTAATCAATTAATCAATTAATTAGTTGAGATTTGAATGCCTTCATGGCAGGCTGTGCTCTCTAACTGCTATTCTAGTTATTATTTATTTATTTATTTATTTATTTCAATAGGTCCATAGTTCTGGATAGTTATATTGACAGGATGGTGGAACACTTGAGTGAAGAGATGAAAGAGAATAGGAAAATACTAATAGAGAGTAGGAAAGGTATAATATTTTATTTCAATTATCAATAAGTGAGGTTGCTTGATGAACATAATGCTATATCAGATTTCATAGAAAGAGTCTGATTGTCTGAGAAAAACTTTTTACTGAAATGTTTGTTGTTAACTAAATGCAAACAAACCTCTTTGTACCCATATCAGAATGTGTGATCTTTGTTTTTGAGTAGGTATAAAAAGAACACATTCATAATTAATTAACAAAAATATCAAACTCTTAAATGTTAACTGAAGTCCCCGTTTCCTTTACAGAGGAGCAGGCAGTAATAGATGAGAAACAGAAATCTCTTCAAACGCACAGAGTTCCTCCTAGAGCTCATGATGTCATTGATCTGAGTAGTTCAGAGGATGAGGATGAAGATGAGGATGAGGAGGATAGTGAAGTGAGCGTAGAAGGAGAAGACGGGGTTTACTATGGAGGATATGGACAGTGCTACAACTGTGGTGAGTTTTGAAATATGTTTTAAGGTACATATTAACCAAGCAACGGTGGGGCATGGATTCCCAGTAACACATATAAAGCACTTCTGTTAGTTTCTTATATGACTCAAATAAAGTGAACATGCCAAAGGATAAACCGAATTAATAATTTGATCAGTCATAAAAGAGTTTTAAAATACACCTTTATAAAAAAAATTTTTGGTCATAAACTTAACCTACTTACCTGACATACTTTTCTGACCCATTTATATACAGCATAGAAAGCAAGTGGAAAAATCCGTTCAAATATCATTTTTTGGGTAATATAAAATTATGTCTTTGGTATTTCTCAAAGTTATACTATTTGAAACTATATGGTGGCATTTGGTAATCCTGTGTCAAAAAATTGAGTTCATATGCATCTTTAAAGAAATTATGTTAAACAGACTACCAACAGTAAGTACCACAAAGATGACAGACATGATTTTCCCAACCAGATTTAAATGAGAAATTCTTGTTGGTTTTCAGATGTAAGTGACCCCCAACCCCTTGGCCTTAAAGGCACCAACCACTTTTTTCCAAATTATTTGTTCCAATACAATCCAAAACCATGACTGACAAAAGATATACAAACTGTAATTGTGATGAAAGCAACATTAAGAGTCTTAGACTCGTGTTTTGGAACTGATTAGCTTCCCCAGGCAACAGAATTATTTACAGAGGATTTAAAAGTGTGAGATTTTTTTTATCTTGTGCAAATAAGTTTGGCTTTATGCTCATGTTTATCAGACTAAAACTGTTTTAATTTACCTTAGTTATAAAAGGGACTGTATTTATGATTTGGGATGGAAAATGCAGTCTAATATTCCCTGCATCCTTGACTATTTTATAGTGTATATATCTGTTGTCACTGCCAAGTTCCAATACCCACAAGTTCTTACCTGTCAAGTTCTTAGAAGCACCCTGAAAATTAAATTTGAAATATTTTAGAATTGATTTTAATTTCATTATTTACAGAAGGTGTAATACACCTCTAGAACACAAGCTTTTTACAAAGAAAATATGAAAAGAAACATGTACAATCACTTTAACAATTAATTAAATAAAATTAGATTTGGTAACCAGGTTGTTTATTTTTTTCAGTGTTTTTGTCTTTTGTGTTAATAAATTAAATTAACTTTTTTGTTTTGTTTCCATTGTCACAGAAATGAGATAATCTCATTGATTTAAAGAACAAGTTATTAAGATAACATTATTTTTAATTTGGTATCATTTTCACTTGGTTAATGTGGCAAAAGTGTTCAGATCTGATAAGTAATATATCAGTATAAGAAAAATTATGAAGTATGACGAAAAGACAAAGAGACCACTTTAAATATGCAGGCAAAAACTGAAGCTTCAACTTTATATATATTTGCATAAAGCATGTTCTTTTTGCATCTTTCAGGGCACAGAGGTCATTGGGCCAATGGTTGCCCATTCAGGTGAACCTGGACTTAAGGCCATGATTTTCGCTCGTTTTTACAGTTTTTTAATAAGTATCTAATGTCTCATGAGTAGTACAACTCTTGAAATATTTTGTAAACCCAAATATTATGTAGCTTGTAGTAAGCATGTTTACGTGTTATTGCTTAGTTAACATCTAATAATTTACAGAAACATTTAATCTTTTAATCATCTCTACATTTATTTTACATGACTGTACTATTATAAGAGATAAATGTGTCAGGAAGTGTTATTTTAGTACATTTCGGTGCTCAGTTGCAAATTGACATTGGTATGACTTTGAAAATATGTATAAGTTGATGTTTTCCATCAAATATCCAGTGTATGTGCTACATGAGATTAGCATGTAATTGAAAAGGACTGTCCTCAGAATCTGTTCCAACGTGCCTGCAGCAATAACCTTGATGCATATATTTAGAACATACACTGTGTAATTTTAATCTTTAAGGAGAGTTTCTGGAAATTTGATTCTACACTTCGGGCAACAATGCATACAAACCACTTAATAGTGTATAATTGAAGCAGTGCATGGGAACCGATTTTAAGTGCCTGGGATGATATTGTTATCTGCCTTAGGAATAGTTATTTTCATGTAACTTTATTGTGTGCCATTTTGAGATTATGAATAATTGAGATATTGAGTTCGAAATTTGATCCGAAGCCCCTGGGACAACACTGTACTTGCCTCGGGACAAAGGTATTAAATCTTACAGCATGCGCCCCCTTTTCAATGTAATGGGCAATTGAATTGAAAGCTTGTAACGCGATCTAGTTGCAGTATGAATGGTGGCCTGCGTAATGAAGCGAATGCTCTAGGTGAGATTGCAGTGCAGATCTCTGAACATTGTGTTGTACCTCGCAATCTCGTTGCAACGAAGGCGCATCATTAATTAATAGAAATGAAATAAAGTGTATTCCTCTAGCATGTTGCTAAAATTGCGTGCGTTTGTCGATTTGTTTTCAAGAATCCCCACATTCTACCCAATGTTGATGTTACAAATCGAAGGCTAATGGAAAGGACAGGGTTGTCACGCGACAACGGCGGTCATCAACGATTGTGTTAATTGCCGCGAAGAGAATCCCACTGAACAAAGGATAGATTCAGTGCACCGAGGAAAGGGCTAACCCACCAAGTGGATATCTCCGCTGAAAAATGGGCGTGGTGGGTCGTGACTAACGGGACCGTAATAGCTTGATCGAAATTCATTAAATTTGATTTTCTGAGATGCCGGGTCAGCATTAAAGCCGCAAAGTTCACGGCAAATTTAATCAAAACGTTTAACGACCCGCTCCTCTCCTCGCGGAGAAAGCATGATTAGTTTATCTCTCCTTAAATGCGGGAAATGTAATGGTATCGCGGGGCACAAAATAGCAACATTTTCTCCACAGACAGCGAAAGGTCGTCGGTAATAGCGTTAAGCTATCGTAGACCTGATTATCAAGAAGTAAATTGAAATGGACTCGAGTGTTTAGTCACCAACAGTTTGATCAGTGTTGAAACAAGCGCTGGAAGCTATACAAGGCTGCTTTACAAGCTGAGGTGGAAGCGATGATGGACACGGTTGTCGGACATACATTACTTCTATATAACAGTTATGGATAAACTTTATTACAGGGATTTAATTCCAAAAACAGTTCCCTTTTTCGATCTGCTTTATTATATCCTTAAACTCGCCGACGGTCCAATGATTTTAATTATAACTGATAATGTTTTTTTTAAATTTATTTATTTATAATAATGGTAATATGAAGAAGAAAGGTAAAAAAAATACTTTCAAGATAAAATACATAAAAAACTTAGCAAATCCTTTAAATAAATGATGCATATTTTTATCAGTAAGGGTTTCAGTATAAAGAGTCATTTGAATCCGACATTTCAGTTACATCACTTTCAAATGGTGTCAGAAAGACCCACTGCCAATCAACCTGGGAAAAAAACCATTTCATTACATATTTGTCCTAATTCATAATCTCTTCTTCTCATTTTTGAAAACTGTTAGCTGTGAGTGGTAACATGTGCGAAAGGCCCGGGTCGTGTTTGCGGATCCCGGTGCGGATACTCCCTCGGTTCCTGGCGATGCGTAATCAGTAGCAACTTTGTCGTAAGTGGAGCTTCCTTGCAAGGCCTTTGAAATGCACAGCATCTTATGTCGTTGACTTTTCGTACAACATGTGTACGTTTCTGTGGGGTCGACTGTTTTCAATCAGCCACTTCCAATTCCTGTCATAAATTATGAGGAAACAAGCTCTACCATTGCCACACTTGACAATTCATTTTTTTTTTTTTAGAAATTTTCCTTTGCTGAAAAAAGACCTGAATTTAAAGAGGTGTTTGTATTCGTGTTAGAGGAATTGATTTTATCTCATCGTTAAGCATGTATTTCCTCATCAGAATTTCGATTGCAATGAATGATTATTGGCCATTTTCTCTTTCCGCTGTAAAGTTTATTTTCAGCTTAATTGAAATTTAATGAAAAGATCTCTGTCTCAAAAGCTGAGCGATATACATCTTCAATGAACTTATTTGAGCATTTCTTCTGCGGGGAGAATCTTTTTTTCAGATGCCAAATTCGGGTGTTATTGACCATTTTAGAGCATGTCTTAGCAACTCGAATTTGTTTGTTCTAAATTACGCTGATAAAACACTCATTTTCAAATAATTAAATTTGTCGAGCATGCCCTTTCTATAAAAATCCAGGTTTCCTAGACTTAAAGCTTTTTAAAAGCGGTATTTCCAAGATAAATCAGAGACAAATTTACTTATTAGAAATTTTATTTTTCTGTTTTCACTCTTATGTTACATGAGCATCTATAGTTTTTTGCAAAATAAGTTTTAAAAAAATGCAAATTTTTCGAGGGACAAATATGCCTTGTGAAGTGAAATTTGAAATTTATTTTTTTTTTTTCAAATTTTTCAGCGAAGATTTGTGATGTTTATTAGCTTCACATAGCTCGGTTACTTAAAACATTTTTCTGTGTCACACGTGTGTCAACAATGATGTTAGTATGTATAAAAGAATTCATGGTTGCAGTTGCCTCTTACTCCATCCGTGGTCAATTTGGGTTATGGAACAGAGGTTGAGGAATATTAAATCGAAATGAAATCCTTTTTGATGAAATGAACACTTTCTACACCACCTGTCAAGCTAGGGTATAATTTCGCCAAACTTCAAATGTATCGAGTGGCCATACAAACAAAAACTCCGCTATTTCACTGTTGACGTGCAATGAATGGTTACAATTGAAGGATACAAGCATAATCGCCGTCATATTCGGTGGAACGCAGGTGAAGTGCGTTGGATTTTGATTTCAGTCATTCTAAAACGCTCTTTGCATGCACTGAAAGTAACCACAACTGATCACATGTAGGGGTTTATTTCTGTCTTTGTCCAAGGTGTTCAAACAGTGTGATTTTTTCTTTTCTCTATTCAGCGTTGCTTATTCCATTAAATTATTGAAAATTCTCTTACAGTTACTCGGTCAGTCACCCTGTTAATTAGTAAGTTTGGAAAAGTGTTCTCTATTGCAGTGACTGATACGTGATTCAGAACAGCGATGTCTTAAATACATCCTCTAACATTTGTGTGTAGTCTAGTCATTCCACATCCAGCCCTTTCATCTTTTTTAACCTGCCCTGAAAAAAAAACTACCAGAAAACAAAAAGGTCCTTAGAGGTCTCACCGGTGGTAATTCACGGGGACCTGAAGTCATGTGATAACAGAAATCGTCAATTTTGTAAACTGAGTTTTTGTGTTTTTCCCTGAATCGATCGTAAAACATTTATCTTGTCTCCGCCAGGGAAATTGAACTCACCTGACTGAGAGTATGCTTGTGTTATGGCGAGAGATACGGGTGGGCAAAACAAAATGGGGAGAATATTATTTTGCGCATAAAGCCACCGAGAGCACAACCTTTGCCTCCGTGTTGCATCTATTCCCTTTTCATTAAAGTTTCCCGATAACCTCGTTAAATGACATAAATAGTAACGCGTTTATCTGTCCCAGACACCTTTGCATTTGAGTGGATAACTTTTTTGTGGAAAAAATGCCCCGTTTAGTTGTGGTTCAATTAGAAAGTGAAACCTATCCCTCGCACCAAAGTGTCAGTAAAATGAATTGAAATTGACTACGATTGAACAACGCAGATCGTTTTCAAAAACAACAAGGCTGTCAAGTCGTGTCGCGGTCTACCGACGCACATGGAAATCTAGCCCTGTATCGATATCAAAGAGCTTTATTATAGGTTCTCGCAGGAGGCCGCATCTTGCCTCACGACGATAGCGACATTTTAGAATTATTTGTGAAAATTTGAGGCGACGTCGTAGTAGGTTCGAGTCGGGCGTGTGCGCGAAAAACAGGGATACTGTTCATCAAATGTTTCAAACGCATTGTTTGGAAACTGGTACATTTTTTTCTCTAAAACTTAAGTGGATGGCCTGCGGTGGTAGGAGGATCAAGGAAAATTCAATTTTGTCATTTCACGTTCCTATTTATTTACTTTCATTACTATTGAAAGAACTGCTATCAAGGCGCAAGTACTGCGCAGAAATCTGGGCCCAATGCTAATTTATCCCGGTTCAGCCATTATGCTGAAGGTGTCAGTTTCCAAATTCTTTTTTCCCCCCTCAATTTACCGTGTTGAAGGAGATCGTTTTAAGAGCTATAAAGAAGAAATCAACAACTCAGCCAGCGCAACAAAAACGTTTGCATATAAAACTGACAAATTTTCATTTCAATGTAAAATTGCCTTCGGCGAGTAATCGACCGGCAATCCTCCCCGATTAGATGAAATATGAATCGACAACTAATATCGAAGAAAAGAGAAAATAAATTATGTGGAAAAAGCCTTGGGGTACAGGTGTTTCAGTCATCGTAGAAAAAAAAACCTTAACTCTAACGCTTTTCTCGTTTAATTCCATCCGACAATAGCACTATTTCGCCTCGTTCATCCACCGCGCACCTCCGGTCTTTCTTAGGCCGCGTCCACTTGTTCAAACGTTAGCTTGGCAACAATAAATCTTAAAGCATTTCTTGTATATCTGTCCTATTGTGTCTTCTTGTGAACAAATATGATCAAGTTATTAATATTCAATCGATTGCGAAGGATTACCGTCACTTATGACTTCATTATTCGAATATCACGGATAGCGTTTCAACCCCTTGAGCGATGTCCAGTATCGTGTGTCCTGTTTGAGTGCTTCAAGTTTGTCACTGCTAATTAAAAGCAACTATTATACAGCTTTAGTTTCAGTCAAATAAAATTTGACGATAAAAAGTTTATCAGCGTCTTAAACCGAATTAAGTGATATGAATATTGGCAGGGTGATTTACATGGTGATGGACCTTGCGGTGGTTGGAGAGATAAGGAAGGAAAATAATTCAATATTTCACTCTCATTTGTGAATGTTTTGTATGCCTTCTTCGGGTCTCGTTGTCATTCTCTTAGTCTAAATAATTCGATGGCAATATTTTTCGAATGCAAATTATAATTGACAAGAATCAAATTGCTGTTGTGTACAGATTTTTTTTCTGTGAAATCCGCTCCAGAGAACAGCTTCATCTGGATGTATTACTATAGATTTTGTAGGTCAAAATTCATTTAAACCATCGAGAAGAGATAAAGGGAAATGATGTTATATAAGGCTCCTTTTTCTCAGAAATGTTCGGTTTTTCTCAGTAAAAGGGTAATGTTATATAACATCAATTAATTCACCTATATTTTGATAATGTATATTAATTGAAAGATCGGTATATTAGTCTTTATTTATTTATTTATTTATTTATTTATTTATTTATTTATTTATTCATTCATTCATTCATTCATTCACATTTTTTAATATTACGATTTGGTAAACGATTCAATTACTGACTCGAAAAACTTAAGATATTCGATCGAAACAGTAGCACCGATTGGT